CAGCAGCAACACACACATACACACACACACACACGGCCAGTAAGCTGATTCTGTTTCTTGAAGGGAATCTGTAAAACAGAGAATAACTGCCCCACAGGCTCTGTAGGGAAGCAGACAGCCAGGCCTTTCTTCTCTAGAACAAGTGTTCTTTTTGATCCCAAAACCTTGCAGTTCAGAAAAGTGCTTAATCATTGTACCACCAGGGTATATTATAAGGAAAAGGATTATTCTGTGAAACTTGTGGTAGTATGGCCGGATATGAATTAATGTGCATGAGTACATGTAGGCATGTGTGATTTGATTATACATTTTTCTTTGATAAAAATATTTGAAAGCAAGTGGTTATTTTCATTCCCGAGAAAGCTATACACATTGAATTATTTTCTGTTAACAAATTGAATAAGTAAAATGACAAAACTCATTTTGTCATCAAAGTCTAAATTTCGGTAAAATATTAACATGGCATGTTATTTTGTTATGTGCTGTCGAGTAGATTGCAACTCATAGCAACACTACATACAACAGCCCTGAAACTTGCTCTATCCTGTGCCAACTTTATCGTCTCTCACACACTTAGCTGCACTACCACAGTCACTATATCAATCCATCTCCCTCTCTTTCTCCGTCCCTCCACCCTCCCTAAAATGATATCCCTCTCCAACGACTGATCCCTCCTTGAAACATGTCCAAAGTATGTCAGACTCAGCCACAGAATCCTTGTCTCCAAGGAGCAGCCCGGCTTCACTCTCTCTAGGACAAACCTGTTTGTTCTTCTAGCAGTCCTTGTCATATTCACACTCTTCTCCAGCACCACAGCTCAAAGGCAACCATTCTCTTTCTGTCATCCCTAGTCACTGTCCAGCTCTCCAACACAAATAAAGACTAATAATGTGCTTTCCTGATATATAGGTTAGATGTGGGCAGAGGAAAGGAAAGACTGAGAAAACATATATGACTTATGAGAGACTGTTGGGGCAATGCTTTAGTTATGGCTTCTTGAAACCATCATCTTAGGAGATATTAATATCAATTAACATAACACAGCCCATGAAGACAATGTTCTCTGTCAAATTTTGATGTTGTTGTTAGGTGCCATTGAGTTGAGTACAACTCATAGGAGCCATATGAACACATCTGAACTCTGTTATATCCTGTGCCAACCTCACAATTACGTGTACATTTGAACTCACTTCTTCAGTCACTCTGTCAATCCACCTGGTTGAGGGTCTTCCTCTCCTTCACCATCCCTTCACCACTCCAAGCACAATGACCATCTTCAAAGAATAATTTCTCCTAGCAACAAGCCCAAAGTATGAGATGAAGCTTTATCATCTTTGCCTTCAAGGAGCATTCTGGCTGCTCCCTTGGTGAGTTGAAACTAAAGTCTAAAAGCTTACCAGTAGCCATCTAAAGAGCAATCATTGGTATCTACAACACAGAAGAAAGAAAAAAAATGCAAAGATAATACTGCAACAATTTGTCCAGTTGAACCAACTAATCTCCAAGCTCAACTTACATTAAACTGAGACCAGAAGATGTAGGTGGTGCTTTGGCTACCACTACTGATCCTTCTACAGGGATGAGCTTGAATACGGTAGGAAAAAATGTAGTCACCTCCGCAAAGGCCATGCTTCCTGGTCTGATATAATCTGGTGAGAGACCAGCCTTGGGAAGAGTATCTTTTGAGCCTGAAATAAAACTCATTCCTGTGATTCTACTTGTAACTAAACAATAAGTCAATAACATCAACATAAGGTAACCAATGACATCAGGGAGGCATTCACTCCTTAGAATAGCCAATTATATTGTCCTTCTAGGTGCCACAGAGACAACAATGACTCATAGCTATCTCATTAAAAATAGATCGGGACCTTGAGCCATCATCATCACCTCTATTATGCTCAAGTGAAGCACATAAAGTCAAAAGTGCTGTGTCTACCATATATAAAGCCCTGAAGGAAGGAAAAGGTAGGATAGAAAGATAATGGAAAATCAAATTACAGGAAGTGGAGGAAATATGATTACATTATGCATAATGAGCATCATAAAATAAAATGTGCCTGAATGTTTGAGTGAAAAATCAAGATACTTTGTAAACTTTCACTCAAACTGTAACACAAAAGTTTATTTTTTTATACAGACAGGTGTGGTACAATAAAACACTACAACTACTTTACATAGCACAGGGCTCCTGACTCTAATTGTTAATAAGAGAAAGACTGAAACAGTATAAGCTCTGATTCTTATTTTTGGGTTAATCTTTGCATTATTAACTTAAAGAGGAGCCTAATATATTAATTATCTTCATTAACAACCTGAAAGTAATTCACTTAACTCTAGCCATTGTCCTTGAGTTTGAGCAAATTTATAGCTGATCCTCCGCAGGACTTTCAGAGGCTGTAAATCACCTTGGAGAAGCCTGGCTATCTTTCTATCTTAGAGTTACACCTATGGATTAAAATACCAAAGAGGTATCACATTTGGGTTAGCAGTACAACTCCCTATGGGAAATAACACCAGATTTGCCTACCTGAAAGTAAAATAGCTCCAAAAAAATGAATGATACAATTGTTCTTATTACATGCAAGTATTCTGATTTTGTAAGAAGCCTAAGCGGTTAATTTTAAATCTGTACTTCTCCAAACATAGTTGGAAAAGGAGGATAAATATCAGCATCTTATTTTTTGAAAATACAAACTCTTGGGTCTCACTCCAGACTAAATTCAAACACTAGTGGAGGGGCTCATTTTGGCTTTATTGTGATTTCAGGGACAGTTTATAAAGTGTATTGGTTTTCCATTCAACCAGAAGTACACATTTTGTTTTATAACATTAATTGCAATGCCCCTGTTTAACAAACCCTCAAGGTACTTCAGGTGCTAAAATTAGAGGACAATCACTTTTAAACATCCGCAGCTGATGCTGGGATATTATACTATTCAGAAAAAAATTCTCTCATAAAAAATTAGGCTTGATTAATAATAAAGCTATAACTGTATCTGAATTTTGTCATGTTTCCTGCATAACAGTTTTATGATCTGTGAATAACAGATGAATTCAAAGAATAACAGAGTGATAAAGCATGGTTCCAAAGATAATAGTCCCTAAATATACCTCAGGGCTTAATTCTATTATAAAGTAAGTTAAGAAAATCCTTCTCACTATATACTTTTAATAGAGTAAAAAACAAACTAGCATCTTAAACACAGAGACATTTTGCACTAAAGAAAATTATATTTAAGTTAGAATTTTTTAGGTGTTTGTTGTTTGGGGTTTTTTATGGCTTTTTTTGAAACATAGTATCTATTGCAAGGAGTAGGAAATACAATGAAAAGGCATAGTGCAAAGTATGGATGACAGATTTCTTTTTACTCTGTTGCACTGACAGCATCTGGCTATCAGA